ACATGAATGGCAGCTGATAAGGCTAGGCGTACGGGGACCGCGATGCAAACAGCGCGCACACCGCGCCGCCGTGGCGGTCTTGGTGGTCACCGAGGCACTCCTTGGAGAGCACCAAGAAGAGAGCCTTCTTGATCCGCCCCACTACTGAACAGCCGGACGGACGGACGGACGGGCGGACGCCCCCGAAGCAATGAGGACGCACTCGTCTCTCCAGCCGTGATGTCGCCGAAGGATGATTGCGCATGCCGTCGTATCACCTCAACGACTCTTTCAGGTGGTTACGGTCAAGCCCCAAGGCCTGGCCGCCCCGCCCCGCCCCACCCCGCCCCGCCCAACCCCCTCCTCACCCAGAGCGCAGTGACACGATGCTTCCGAGTAAGTACGGACTTATCATGTGTGTCTATTTACCGCGGCGGCGCGGCGCGTCAAAGGAGTCACTGCTGAGGATGTCTGTGCCGAGCCGAGCCGTGCCGAGCCGCGCCTCCGACTTATCTCCCTTAAACTCGGAACGGAGTAGTGACGCGTGCAAACAAATTAAGTCGCTTTTATGCCGAGCCTGCGCCTGGCAGAGGGCACAACCTCCTGAAATAGACAAGAAGGCGGTCCGCCGGTCCGCGCGCAAGCGCCGTGCGGCCGCGCGTTGTTTGGCAGTCGCGCCCAAACTAGACAAAACGTACTCCAGCGAACGCTTTGCGGGGCTCCGCGGCGGCAGGGGGCAGGCGCGGATCCAGGGGCGTGGGGCTGATTACGCCTTGGCACGACTAGGTACGTGCCGCCTGGAAGGCAGGCAAGAAGCGCTACGTTGCCCCTGTGAACAATCCTGGATGCGCGCTCTGGCCGCCGCAGACCGATTCCGAGAGTCGTTTTCGTCGCTCTGTCTCTCTCGCACCTACACGCAACGGCCCCACAGTGCGAGAGAGATGCGACTCTCGGAGTCAGTCTGCAGGTCCGTCCGGCGCGGGCGTTCGCATTTGCCGCCAGTGACACCGCGCGTCGCTACGCGTCGCATCTCCGGCGCGCGGCGAGGCGACCGGGGCGGTAGTTGCGGCGCCGCGCCACAGATGGCAGCACCGGTCGCACGCTGCCTCCCCGCCGCGCCGCGGCCCCGCCCGCCCCGCCCCGTGCTCCGCAGCGCGCACCCCGCGCGCGCGTGCCCTGGTGACACTCTCGGATGTGCGGGAGGTTCCGCCGCCCCTCGTCCTCGCCGTCGTCACGGAGTGCGTCAGGCTGTCTGTCGACCGCCAGCGTGTCTGCCGGTGTGTCTGCAGGATTATCTCTCGCTGAGCCACACTGATAAACTCGACCGCGAACGGGGCGGGCTGCTGCTGCTGCAGATGCTGCTTCAACTTCGGAGCGTCACCGGCAGACAGTCCTCACTCACTCCACGGCCTCCACGGGCATGGCGGGGCGGGCGGACATGTTGCGCCAGCACGCTGTAATTCAGATCGGTCGCTCTGTCTCTCTCGCACCCAGGGAGGGCCTCACGAGAGCGAGAGAGGCAGAGCGAAAGCGCTGTTCGGAGTCAGCCTCCAGTGATGCCACAGCGTGATCAATAAGCCACGCTCCACTGCGCACGCACGGCCTGCACGGCCTCGGGCGCAGAGATTCGCCCTCAGACGCGGCAGTTGCCTAGCCGACTGTACCAAAATATAGGGTAATCCAAAGGAGCTCTAGCGCGGAAGAGAACAAAAACGGAAGCCATAAATGACAGTTTCTATGAGAAATGTACGTGGCGGATAATGTCTGGTGCTTACCCGCAGCGTGCATTTCTCATAGAAAGAGTCTACATACTTTCCCGACCGTTCTTGTTTCTTTTTCTTCTGGGTCTTCTTTCCGTCCAGCGTGACGTCACTTCGTTTCCAACCAGTAATCTCGCCCGCCTCGAACGAACGGATAAAGACCAAAGTTGCATTATTAGTGATTCCGCGGATAAAGGCGGCGAATGACCTGGCCTGTCGCGGGTCTGGACCGTCAGTTCGGTTTTGTTTTTATTTCGGTTTAGAAATTTGCTTCGCATGCAGCACACTCTCCAAGCGTGGAGAAAATGAACGTTTCAGGTTGACGCCACGCCCACAGTTTGCTACACGTACACACAAGACAAGGATCAAAACCCAAACCTGGTTTTGCACAAAATGTTCATTTCAATGAAAGAGGTCAACATCAACATTTCGGCTAGTTACGAAAAGTCAAACATATCTGCGAGTCTTCGATTTCCTTCAGCCGATACCGGCCCAATTTCTGTAACTCCAATAATGGCGCCAGCAATTACAATGGGACCGTGGGAGCGACAAGGGTTGTGGCGGCGGTCCTCCGATTCCCCGATTTCTCCCGAAAGGCCGAGTGGCCGAAAGCCGCGTGCAGGTGCGTCCGCCCGCACAGTCCGCCGCGCTGCACTCGGCGTGTGAAATTGGAAAACAATTAATCGGCGCCAAAGCCGAATCCGAGCCGGGGCCGAAGGGCGCCCAAGCGCGCCGTGCTAATTGTTGCAGTGCCGTGCCGCCCTTCTCGGAGTCGGCGAGGAATCAATGCGATCAGTCAGTGCTATCCGGGGCGCTCCGCTCCGCTTCAAGTTGGCGCCGACGGAGCTGCGTCCGAGGTCGCCCTCCACGCGAAGGGCCTCGACGGCCAGCAGCAGGCTCATTTCGAAAGTCGTTTTCGCCGTTCTCTCTCCCTCGCGCTCATGGGTGCCCTGTGTAGGTGCGAGAGAGACAGAGCGACGAAGACGACTTTCGGAATCAAAGCCGGCCAGCCCGACGACGGTCGGTTTGGGACGCGGGCCGCGCTGCAAAGCGATTCCGCGCGCTTCGTCGCTCTGTCCCTCTCGCTCCATGCGCCCCATGAGTGCGAGGGAGACAGCCCGCTGGCCCATCGATCGCAGGCCGCGCATTATCGACGCCAGGCACACTTTTAATTGGCTGCGCCGGGCTGCGCCCCAGTCGGCCACCGCCCGGGGCGGCCCGTCTTACGCATCAGACTGTTTGTGCTTGTCAGTCAGACGTCGGTTAATAAGCCGAAATCGGTACCGCACCGCCGCCCGCTCTGTCTCTCTCGCACCTGCACGATGCGCCTCACGAGTGCGAGAGAGACGGAATCGGAATCAGCCACGGGGCGCTGGCGGCGCGCTTCGCGGGCGGAGTGCTTTCCGATCTAATTTCGGACTCATTTCTGTAATTGTTGGCAGCGAGAGGGCGCGCAGGGCGGGATTGTCGGATTGGCCCTTTTGGCCCCGCTTTGGTGCGCTTTGGTGCGCTTTGGCGTGATGAAGACTATTAGAACGAGTGGGACTGATTTAGGAGCCCTCTCCGTCTCCGCGTTGCTTTGGCCGTGTAATTGCCCTATCGCTGTCTCTCTCGCACACGTGTGCAGCCCTTTGCCAACATAATCAGACGCGAACCGATAATTGGCCACAATTATGAGAGGTTCGGGGGTCGAGAATGGGTGGCCATTATGTTCATTACTGGTCGGCAATTACAACTCTTACAATGTAGAGGTGCGGGCTTATTAAAAAGAATTAAAACAAATCGCGGAGGCCGCGCCGCCGCCCTGAAGGTCCTGAAGGCCGCCGCGCAGGACGGCGACGACGACTGGCTGCTTCGACGCTGGGGAGTCGTCGCCCACAGTGGCCCCGCGAAAGCCCGGTTGGAGGCGGCCAAAACTCTTGGCGCGTTTTGAGTTCCATCGTCGATAAATGGGACCGAACCGAACGTGTGACCCCACCAATGAATTGCTCTCCGAACGAGGAATCTGGTGGGGTCACACGCTCGGTTCGAGTCCTGTTTAGCGACTGCAGCTCAAAACGCGTCTAGAATTTTTGCCGCCTCCCTCTGGCCCAGTGCGTGGTCGTCCGGCCTCTCCATCTCCTTCTTCTCGTTCAGTGTTACAGATAGGCCGCGTGTTTGCAGACAGTCCTCAAGTGCGAAAACTCTGCTCGTCGACGACGTTGTGGGTCTCGGGGCCCTGCCGGCCTGCGGGCCGCACGCAGCAGGGTTTGCACAGGGCCCCAGCGAGCGCCCCCGCGCGGTGCGCGGCCCAGGTAGCGGGGGCCACGCAGTGGGCCACGCCGATCCCCGGGCACTGCGTTGGACTGAGTCCTTTGCGATACGTACGCGCCAACAAACAGTGTGTTTTTGTTGCCTTTTCGGTCATCGGCGCGTCGCCGCCCCCGCACTGCAAACACGCTCGGCAAACACGCACGGCACGCACGGCACGCACGCCGAGCATTAGCGGCGCGGCTGTCGTCCCGGTTCGCCGTCCGGTCGACTGGCAGCGCCTCGCTGCCGCTCTCCTGGACTAGATCCTGGACGTGCCGTGGGGTGCGAGAGAGACAGAGCGACGACTCTCAGTGTGCTGGCCGCGGTCCACCCCTCGGCCGCGGCCCTGGGCGTGCACCGCGGCGTGCACCGCGGTGCGGCAGCCAATGCACCGTGATCAAACGGCCGGCTCCTCCCTCTGCCTCGCGCACTTCATCACGTCCTCCCCGCGGGTTACGCAGCGCTACGCGCCGCCGCGCTATGGACGCCGCGCACGCTTCGTGGAGGGGGTTACGGCGCTAAGCTCTAATTGAAAGAGGAGGAGGGAGAGGGCGGGAAGAAACACGCAGGTCTCGGGGAAGCCAGGGGCAGATACGCTGCTTTGGCTGAGCGTGGGCACGGCCTGCGCGGCCTGCCGCAAGCATGGCGGCCGTCATGCCGTCCCCAAATAGACTTGTTTGGAGTGTTCCTCGCGGCTCTGGCGGCCCGCCCTGGCCTGCTATGGCTGTGGCCTCGGATCGGACCGATTCGAGAGCCGTGTCCGTCGAGCTTGGCCCAGTTTCGGACCAATAAATTGACCAAACTGTTACTTTGTTGAAGTTGTGTGTTGTCTTGAACCCAGTTTCGAACTAATAAATTTGCTTAACTGTTACCTTGTTTGAAGTTGTGTGTGTGTGGTTTGAACCTTTTCCGACAAATCGAATTGAAGAATCACTCTGGGGAAGAAAGATAGAGACTCGGGATTAATTTGAATTCATTTTAATAATTCACCTCTTCATTTCGTTTTTTTCCTCCTCATCACATAAACTATATCATAATATATTCATATAAGTAAAATGACAATAATACAATACTCTAATAAATATAATACAAGTAGCTATCGAGATTGTTAAGGCAGTCTTTTCAAAACAAAAAAAAAGTACAAGATAAAACATAGAGTAAATACACAATAGCAAATCCGATGGCATCTGCGCCGCTGGCTTCAATTGGCTAAATGCACCTTGACCTGTCACGCTCTGGGCAGTGCTCTGGCCGGCATGGCATTGGCCCGCTTCGTGGCCATAAACGCGGCCTGCACTCGTGACGAAAGCTTTGTCTACCGGTCACGTCCCCGGTGCGCATTACCGGACCATAACATGTCACAACGGCAGTAAATCTCGACAAAATCGGTGACTAACAGATAGTAAATCATAAACAACAACAAATGGCAAAGAGAGGAGAGGGTTGCCTGCGACGCGCGCCTTTACCGAAAAACAAAAGAAGGCCACTCAGAAACGGAAGCGCAATTTCTCCGCCCTCTACATAGCTTAGCGTAATACTGATATTGCAGGTGGTGGCCAAAGCCGGGAGCTCCAATTCGCACCACGAGGTAACTAGCAAAGGAATCTTCAAACTTAACACTAAAAGATCACAATAACGTAACAAAATTTAGTAGGATATCATAAGTACAGGAAAAAATTGCTCTATTCATAAGTATAGTTTGTACATAATTTCCTACGCATTGGGTAGTCACCTGCGTAACTCACACTCACTCTCTCACACAGACACACGCACACACACGCACTCGGCGCTGATCACAAAAAAGAGTTTACTAAAACATCCGGACGACACGACACAAATTACATGGTCAGGACTAGTGGGAACAGGTGGGGTGGGACCAACGGATGACCGAGTCATCGTATCAATCGACTAACACCTACAAACAACAACTTGGCAAAAGATAATAAATTATCGTAAAGCAAGAAAAAGGAACTTGTGGACCCGTCGGGCCGTTGAGGTGGTCTTGGCGGCGCGGGAGTTACCGGTTCATGATCTCGGCGATGGTGAAGCCGGCCTTCTTCCTGCTGGGCGGCGGTGACGGCGTGGTGGTCACGGCCGTGGCGGTGGCAGAGCCCACGGACAGGTCCAGGAGGTGCGGGGTGAGGTGGTGGGGGTGGTGGGGGGCGGCCACGGGGACGCCGTCCTGGGGGAAGCCTGGTGGCAGCGCCGCGAGCTCCGCGCCGGCGACGCCCTGGTGGCCCTCCGTGTGCGTCAGCAGGTGGGTCTTGAGGTTGGAGCGCTGGTTGAAGGAGCGGCTGCAGATGGGGCACTTGTGGGGCGACTCCTCCAGGTGGAGGACCTTGTGCACGGCCAGGGTGCGCGACTGGCAGAAGCCCTTGCCGCAGGACCCGCATTTGAAAGGCTTTTCCTTGGAGTGGATGTACCTGGAGACACAAGAAAAATTCGGTTAGGGGTTTTTAAAGGGTTGAAATAGCATTCAAGTTTCTATGAAGAAACAGGTCACGCTGACTCAGAAAAGGGAAGATGTTTACCTGTGGTCCCGGAGGTGGTCCTGGCGGCGGAACGCCTTGCCGCAGATGTCGCACGAGTAGGGCCGCTCGTCCGTGTGCGTGCGCTCGTGGATCAGCAGGTTGTAGGACTTGGTGAACTGGCGGTTGCAGAACTTGCAGATGAACTGCTTCTTGGGGCGGGAGCCTGCGCGGGGGCCGCTGGTGCCGGCGCCACCGGGCCTCGCGGGGGCGGGGCCGGTGCGCACGGGGGCGGCGGGGCGCTGGTGGGGCGGCACCACGGGAGGGAAGGTGCGGCCGGCGGCGGCGGTGGCCTGCGCCAGCAGGGCGTTGTGGATCCACTGCTTGATGAGGAAGCCCTGCAGGGGCGGCGGGTAGGTGGCGGCCGCGGCGTGCAGGCTCTGCAGGAAGGCGTTGGGCAGCCCGCCGGGCAGGGTGGGCATGCCGGTGGGCATGCCGGTGGGCATGGGCAGCCCGCCGGGCAGCGGGTGGCCGGCCTGCATGCCGGCCTGCATGCCGGGGGGCAGCACGTAGGGCGCGAGGCGCGCGCGCTCGCTGAGGTCGTCCATGCGGCGGCTCAGCTCGGACACGGGCCGGAACGCCGACGTGGACATGACCGGCGACGGCATGCTGGGCGCGGGGCGGGAGAGCTCGCCGTCGCTGCCGCAGTCCGAGTCCCGCTCGTCGGACTCGAACTTGAAGGCGCCGGGGTTGGGCGAGTAGTGGTGACGGGGGCTGGAGGACGTCATGTCGGAGGCCGTGGAGGCGGACGAGGACGAGGGCCCCGTCGGGGTGTGGGGCGGCGTCAGCAACGGCAGGACGGCGTCCTCAGCCCTCATTGCAGCGCGGGGACTGCCTGGAAAACACAAGCGGGGCATCCTTAGCAAGGCGTGCGAGCGCGTGCGAGGGGCAAGCAGGGTTCCACTCTTCCATAACCGGATAAATTTGGTTGACGATTCAAAACAATGAAGGAATAAGTTAAGCATTGCCTGACAATTTGAATAAAAATAAAGCCGATTCAACCGAAGTGAGTGATTTGAAATTCACAGCCGAACGCATAAACTGATTCGAGGCGGGCGGGGAAAGTACATAAAAGAGCTCAAAATGAAAAAAGGGCGGCCAGGCAGTAAATCAAGCAAGTCCTTCAGAAAGCAGTTCACTTTACGGACTGTCAGTCACCGCACGGCCAGTGGCGGACTGACCCAAGGGAAGGCAGGACACTGCAAGTCACCCAACATACACAAACACTTCAATGACACTCACCATCAAGAGACGTTCTATGATGTACGTTATCCTCAGAAGTTGTCAGGCCAGCTGCCATCTCTGCATGTAGCAATGTCACAAGCACTGACACTGAACTCGAGGCGTCGAACACAAGGGAGGACGCGGTGAGGTCCTCGGCACTAACACACGTATCACTGCACACAGGTCACACGCTAGTCGAGCTAGTCAGTCGGCCGGAGGGAGCGCAGCGTGGAGGTGCACCTGGCGGGATGGGCTCTGGTGAGCGACTGACGAAGAAGGAGAAGGCAAGATGTGAGCTGGGTCCTGCCAGGTCCTGCCTTGCCCGCCGTGCCTGCTGCGGGTCGGGTGCCGTTCGGCGGCTCTGTGGCTGCCTGAGTAGCAGGGCCGCTCTGCGCATGCGCCGTGCCGCGCCGCGCCGCCGCGCCGGCCTCCCATTGGCTGGCCGGCGGCTGGCCGGCCCGGGCCCGCTGCCTGTCGGTGGCTCCTTGCTCCTCCCGCTCCGCCACCGCCGCCGCCGCCGCCACCACTACCACCGCCGCCGCCGTGCTGCTGCTGCTGCTACTGCTGCCCCTCGCGGCGGTCCGTGGAAGCTCGCTGCAGCACTGGCGGCCACGGCGGCGCGCTGCTCCGGCTGCTCTATCCACCCCCGCACCAAGCAGGCCGAGCAGGCCGAGCCCCCGACGCCAGCCCACCCGCTCCGCCGGAGCGTGAGCAACGCGAAAGCGCTTCGCCGAGCTTCGCCCCTTCGCTTCGCGCTTCGCAGCGCTTCAAAGCTCTCCATCATCCACTTCACTAAGGAGCGAAAATAAACCGGCCGGGCCGCGAGGCGTGTTCTCACGCGGGGCCGGCTGGCTGGCCGGCTGGCTGGGTGTTCGACCGTTTTGATTGAGTGCTGCGGAGCCGAGGCCGGGATTGAATCAGTCTGTCTGCAGAGCGGCGCCGCAAGCGAGAACGTCGACAAATCCTCTGTACGCACAAAGGCAGATGCTGAAAGGGTTTGTGTCTGCCTGGCCGATCCAGGGACGCAACAACCCTAAACCTGCTCCAATGTGCGCAAGGCGCATGACTTGACTCTTTGGCAAATTATTTTCAAAGCGCGCCACACCGGAGAAAACCTTTTAAATTTTCTCTCGTTTTCTCTCGAAAGTTTTTTGGGACGTGCTTAGGCTGACCCGGCAGTGGCGGTTGTTGTTCGCGCATCCGCGGGGCTCCCCGGCGAGCCGCGGGCCGCGGCGGCCGGCGTGTCCGAGCCTCGCCCCGCCGCGGCGTGGGCCCTGGCCTGGGCCCCTACACCGACAACATCCCGGATGGAGTCCGCGGCACGAAGGGCGCGGGCAGCACGCCAGCAGACTCGTTCCGAGAGTCGTTTTCGTCGCTCTGTCTCTCTTGCGCTCGTGGGGTGTCCCGTAAGGTGTGGGAGGAAGAGCCACGAAGACGACTCTCGGAATGAGTCTGCAGGGCGCGGGGCCGCGGCGCCTCGTCTCTAGGGCCAGTCCGCCCGGCTGCGCCCCACGTAGGGTCGCACCATGGGTCGCACGGCCTGCAGCACGCACCATAAAACGGCCGGCCAATTTGGCACGGAAGTACCGGGCGGCCACGTGCTGCGGCCACGGCGGCCGCGCGGCGGGCCCAAGCGCGCTTTCGTCGCTCTGTCTCTGTCGCACTCGTGGGGCACCCCGCAAGGGCGCGAGTGAGCCAGCACAACTGTTCGGAATGAGCCCCCTGGGCCTCACGGCGCCTCTTCCTCGTGCCGAGAGTTTGGCCGTTGGGCCGTTTGGGTCCGACTTTCGTCCGGGGCAGGGCAGGGCGCCCTGGCCTATGCCCTATGCCCTCTGGCCCGCGGCCCAGTCGGACGAGGCTGGGTTTATTTCCCCCACGATGCCGAGGGGTTCATGAAACGAACGCGTGATTCCGCCCAATCCACGGCGATGGCCTCGACGGCCTCGCCCGGCGCACGCACTGCCGAAGTACAGTGCTCGTCGCGCCGCTCCGACGTCGTCGAGGACGTCGTGGTGGTGCGAGGGGTGTGTCATCACGTTTCGCGCTCGGTACACCTCGGTACAAAAGCAGCGACAGATTTATGCGAGTAGAAAATTATGGAAATGGAGGCTCTTTTTTTTTCGCGCGAGCGTTGCTCACCGTAATTGCAGTTGACATCCTGAACGGTGTGTGGAACTCCTGTTCGAAACGGTACAGCGGCTGTTAGGCGCGCGATAAGTCACTGCAAGTGCCTGAGTGGGACTCAGGAAACACGAAGTGATCGCTCGCCGAGGTTTTCTTTCTGGCCGTGTCGCCGCGGAAGAAAAACACACACACTGCCTGATCATCATCTCGCTGCGCTGCGACAGAGGGAATAGGCATCGGCGACAGTCTGCTGATTATAGGCTGCCCGGCGCGCAGCGCGCAGCCCGTGGACCGAAAAGAGGTAACCACCGGGCAGGACTGCGGTGCGACGGTCCCAGACCCTCCCAGACGGTCCCACGCGTGGATTGTGTACACACTCTTCAGTCCCGCTGTCTCTCTCGCGCCCCACGGAACGCCCCACGGGTGCGACAGAGACAGAGCGCCGCGACGCACCCTTCCGCCTGCCGGCTGGCCTGCATATGTTTATCCGCCAATTTGAACACCTCTCCGCGGCGGCGGCCCTCGGACTTTCTTTTTCGGACACAAGTCTGCCCGCCTGTCATTTTACATGCACCTCGTCATTTTTTATTTACATATGGCCGTGATGTATGTAAATGTGATGCGAGGACGCGCGCCGTTCTAAACTCCTCCTTCAGCATGGCGGCTTCGCTTCATTTCCTATTCAATTCGTATTGCGGACAGACGGATGGGCAGACAGACAGACAGACAGACAGACAGACAGACAGACAGACAGACAGACAGCGTCGGAACGACGACGCGGTGCTTCTAATCACAGGACACGCGGCGGTGGGACGCGAACTGCGGCCAGCCAGCCGCCCCGAGCGCTCGCGGTGTGTCTCGCGGCATTCAGCCGAGCGATTCCGTCTGTCGCTCTGTCTCTCTCGCACCCTTACGGAGCGCCCCACGAGTGCGACAGAGACAGACACGACTGAATCGCTCGGCCAAAGCGAGGATTAATTACACGGCCCTTTCCCACGACTAGTTGCCGCGCTGCGTGTCTAGGAGGCTTTCCGCCTTTCGCGCGTCGCCGGCGGCGAATTCCCTCCAATTCCACGGAAATCGGAAAGAATTATTTATCGGCGAGGTTTTGGACCGGGCCGGGCTGTGCCGTGACAGCCGCGCGGCACGCGCGCGTCCAGAAGGGAAACACGAAAATAGAAAAAGAGGATTTACCGCGCGCCGATCGGACATCGGACCTCGAGGGGCAATTGAATGATGATGAGGTCGACAACCCGCCGGGCCGAACGGCCGAACGGCCGAGCGATGCCGAAGGAGGCGTTTCGTCGCTCTGTCTCTCTCGCACCCCTTCGAGGCGTTCCAAAGAGTGCGACAGAGGCAGAGCGAAGAAGCGGTGTTGGAATCAGTTTGCAGCCGGGATGAGCCTAAAGCGAGCCCCACCCTGCTACGCTCCCTGCAGGGGCTCCCCGCCGCTTCTGTGACCCCGCGGGGCGGTGAGGCGGGGCGGGGCGGGGCGGGGCGGGGCGGGGCGGGGCGCCGGGGCCGTGTGCGCAGAGCGACGCCATAGCGACGCCATGGCGGTGGGCGTGGTTCGGGAATCGACCGCAGAGGCCCTAGAGGCGAAGCGGGCGAAGGGAGGAAGGAAGAGGAGTAGCGGATCCCGAGGGAGGAGAGGAGGATGAGAGAGCGAGAGAGCGAGGGGGAAACGCGATGCGGCCGCGGGAGCCATCGCGGCAGCACGGCAGTCCGTCCGCCATCGCCAGATAGAAGCGGATTTTTGTTCCTCTTTTTTCGCGAGTCGTCCGCAACATGCGCGCGTTGTCGCTCTGTCCTCAAAGCGAGCCGCCGATTAGCGACACAGCACTGCCAGGCACTACGTCGGCTGCACACCAGATGGGCCGCGAGCGGCCTGCAGACTGATTCCGAGAGTCGTTTTCGTCGCTCTGTCTCCGTACCACCAGTACGGAACGCTCTGTGAGTGCGAGAGGGACAGGGCGACGACAAACGGCTCTCGGAATCGGTCCGCAGGGTCTAGCCGGGTCCGCGTGGACGGACGTGTATATGGCCCCTACGCGGAAGGGCGCACCATCAGGCCAGCAGGCCATCAGGCCAACGAGGTGCGAACCCTGGACCCGTCCACGTCCCGTCCCTGCCTCGGACTCCTCGGCTACTGCACACTCATTCCGAGAGTCGTTTTCGTCGCTCTCTCTCTCGCACCTGTATACGGGACGCCTCATGAGTGTGAGAGAGACAGTGCCGAAAACGACTCTCAGTCCGCTGCGGCAGGTCGCACCTTTCCGCTTCTGCGAAGGCCGGCCGGCCGGGCCCGCAGTGTGGGCCCGCTGCACCTTGCAAAGATGAACCACATGTTGGAGCGCGGAGCGGCAGCCTGCGGCGGCCCGTCCAGAGACAATGCTTGCAATTTGGCGACATGACACAGAGCACAAGCAGATGGCCGGGATTCACCGCTCTGTCTCTCTCGCACCCCGGCAGCACCAAGGCAGTACGCCCCACGAGTGCGAGAGAGACAGAGCCACACGTGCGGGCCGCGCGCCGCGGCTGGCGTCCAGGAAGCCCTTCGCCCTGCCTTCGTCGTGGCACGCCGGTTGTTCCCAGGACGGCGCGTGACGTCACCGACCTCAACGGCGGCAGTGCCCCGGGCAGTGCAGTGGAGGAGCAAAGGGCGATGATATCGAGTGATAAGGATCGATTGATCGGCCACGCGAAAGCGCGCGAAAGCGATTCGAAAATCCGCGGCCGAAATAGCCGCGAGCCACGCGCGTCGTCGCGTCGTCGCCGAACCTGAATCATTCTCCGTGACGTCGAGGCGACTAGCCGAGGGCCGCGCCGGCCGCGCCCTTCCGGTACGATTGTCGATAAGCCACGACGCTTTGCTCGGCTTTGCTTCGCTTCCGTGCCAGCTCGTCGCTCTGTCTCTGTCGCACTCACGGGGCTCGCCGTAAGGGTGCGAGAGAGACAGAGCGCCCCGATTAGCCTAGCCGGCCACGGACTCTCGGACACGCCGCTCCGGATGCCAGTAATCCCGCTGGAGACAGGCAGTCTGGCCCGGCCCGGCCGTCGCTCTGTCTCGCACGCAGACGCAAACGCCCCGTGAGAGCGACAGAGCGACGAATACGCCTCAGCCAGGTGTGCCTAGACGCGCGTGGACGCGCGCCACCCTGTCTGCCGGCTCGCCTCTCACTGCGCTGCACATTCCCGAACACCGTCGACGGGTCGACGGCGAGG